GGAGGGTCCTGACAACTTAGAACTACATGCCATTATCCAGGAGGGTCCTGAAAACTTAAAATAATATCCCATTATCCAGGAGGGTCCTGAAAACTTAAAATTAAATTCCATTATCCAGGAGGGTCCTGAAAACTTACGGCCGAACCTGTCTGGCACATGCTTTCCTCACGGCGGGTTCCTCTAGAACACAAAATTTCCTGTCCCTGTTTCAATCAAAGAAAATCTTATCAGTTTAAAAATGTGGTGGTTAGTTTGCGGCATTCTTGCTGAAGGTGGCCTTTCCACTGCCATGCTTTGTTCCGATTAACTGCCTTGGGCTAGCAAAGAATTGTTTGACTTTGACTGAACCTCAACCACATAACCCTGAATGACCCGAGTAGCTTACACTCAGCCTGTTATTTAACAACTCTATCTTGCCAATTTTGAACCATTATACTTCCTCAAAATTCATGAGCCATTTGACCACTTGAACTCCCACTAAAACTTTATTTCTTATTCTGAATCATGCCATTTGTGATGTGCTCTGGCCGGACTTTTGCTTTGTGCAATTGAAAATTGGTAATAGGCTTTGAAGTCCTTTCTTACTTGCTTAACAATGCTACCATTGAGAAAGACATAGAGAAGTAGACCCAAAAGAAAATGAAACGAAATAACTTCGAGAATTAGGAATAAAGAAGAAAATTTAAAACCAAGATGACTATTTGAGGAAGAATGGAAAAGAGACTTATCTGGGTGAAGCAGCTGGCACCAATGATCATGACATGCATTTCGGATTAATCAGCCCAGTCCATTCAACCAATCACATTTCAGTTCATGACCCGTCTTCATACTTTACGACCGGGATTTCCATAATCCAATCTCTCTGCAAAGTCACGAACCTTATTCAGCTTGTGGTGCCCTGAAGAGTTTTTACCAGCAAACCTCTCTCCTTTGTTCATCTTTCAACTCACCATCGCCTTACGGTGCCCGTGGGGTTTTCACCAATAAGACTCTCTCATTTTAATTTTCTCTCAGCTTTACATCACCCTACGGTGCCCGTGAGGGTTTTCACCAATAAGACTCTCTCATTGATTTATCTCTCCACTCACCATCGCCTTACGGTGCCCGCGAGGATTTTTCACCAATAAGACTCTCTCATTTATTCATTTTTCCTTATGCATGTACAGAGTGCTACCCATGATGCGAATCATACATCTATCTCGCTTGACTTGGCATTCCTCAAAGACTGATCGGAAGGTCTTTCTTTAGACCGTAGTGTAGGCTTTTGGACGGGGTTAGAAAGAAAAGGCGGCACGCAGGCTCAAAACAGTTTAAACGAAAAGGGTTCAAAATTACAACTTTTGGAATCAGATCTTTTGCAACACCACAACTTCTGCCCCAGTTTTTTTTGGGTCTGGGGAATTTTGGATTTTATTCTGATGAGACCGAACCTTAGGGTTGCCTACGTATCCTTAAAAGGAATCAGGTCGAACGTAGTTCAAAACATAAGAGTTGCTTTGTTTTTGTTGCTTTTTCTTTTGCTTTCTTTTTCTTTTTTTTTTTACTTTTCTTTTTTCTTTTTCTATTTTTCTCTTTTCTTTCTTTTCTTTTTTTTCTTTTTTTCCTTTTTTTTCTTTTCTCTATTCTTAAGCTCTACTTCCGATTCCAAAAGAGGGGTATGAAAGAAAATAAATAAGGCTCAAAAGGGGTAACAAAGGATACAATTGTTTAGATAGCAGAATAAAATGCCTTCGTCATTCCAATCTTTGAAACATGCCAAATACAAACAACACAATTGAAGACAAACCAAAGAAACCATACATAATATCTCTTGACTGCATCAGAATTGAAGTGCGAACAGTAGTGCGATAACCCAGCAAAGCAAAAGGCAACTTTTCATGCCACTGCCTAGAACCTTGCACCATCTTTAGAAGTATCTTCTTTATGTTCTTGTTGGCCGCCTCAACAGCTCCATTTGCCTTGGGGCGATACGGGGTGGAATTTCGATGCATAATCTTGAACTGTTGGCATACCTCTTTCATTAGATGGATGTTGAGATTTGCAGCATTATCTGTGATGATTACCTTGGGGATTCCGAACCGGCAAATGAGATTTGAGTGAACAAAATTCACCACTGCCTTCTTGGTCACAGATTTGAAAGTTACAGCTTCGACACACTTGGTGAAATAATCAATGGCCACCAGAATAAACCTATGCCCGTTCGACGTTGTCGGCTCAATTGGTCCAACGACATCCATGCCCCAAGCAACAAGGGGCCAAGGTGCGGACATTGTATGCAACTTCGATGGCGGAGAATGAATCAGATCACCGTGTACCTGGCATTGATGACATTTGCGCACGAAGCTGATACAATCTCGTTCCATGGTGAGCCAATAATAACCTGCTCGAAGAATTTTCTTTGCCAAAACATATCCACTCATATGTGGCCCGCAGACACCGGAATGCACTTCGTCCATGATGGTCGAAGCTTATTTAGCATCTATGCACCACAACAATCCGAGATCTGGAGTTCTCTTGTACAAAACTCCCCCGCTTAAGAAAAATCCAATAGCCAGGCATCGAATCGTTCTCTTTTGATCACCTGTGGCCTGTACTGGATATACCCCCGACTTGATGTACTCCATGATATCGTGGAACCAGGGTTCACCATCAAGTTCCTCTTCTACCACGTTACAATAAGCATGCTGATTGCGAACTTGAATATGCAAAGGGTCAACATAAGCCTTATCCGGGTGGTGTAACATTGACGCCAGAGTAGCCAAGGCGTCGGCAACCTCATTATAAATCCTAGGAATATGCCTGAATTCTACTGATCTGAATCGTTGACAAAGGTCATGCAGACATTGTCGATATGGTATGAGCTTCGAATCCCGAGTCTCCCATTCTCCCTGAATCTGGTGCACCAACAGATCTGAATCTCCCAAAACCAATACTTCCTGAACGCCCATGTCTACAGTTAGCCTCAAACCCAAAATGCACGCCTCGTACTCAGCCATGTTGTTGGTGCAATAGAAACGAAGCTGGGATGTGACAGGGTAATGATGCCCTGTTTCAGAAACGAGCACAGCTCCTATTCCAACACATTTCATGTTAGCGGCCCCATCAAAGAAAAGTTTCCAACCTGGCTTTTCATCCTGCTCAGCCTCGTCAATATGCATCACCTCTTCATCAGGAAAATAGGTCCTCAATGGCTCATATTCTTCATCCAACGGGTTCCTGGCCAAATGATCGGCCAAGACTTGGGCTTTCATCGCGGTCCAGGTCACATAAATGATGTCAAACTCTGTGAGCAGAATCTGCCACTTTGTAAGTCTTCCTGTGGGCATCGACTTCTGAAAGATACACTTTAGAGGGTCCATGCGAGAAATGAGATAAGTAGTGTAGGATGACCGGTAATGCTTCAACTTTTGGGCCACCCAAGTCAAGGCGCAACATGTCCTTTCAAGGAGAGTATACTTAACCTCATAAGAAGTGAACTTCTTGCTGAGACAATAAATGGCCTGCTCCTTCTTGCCAGTGATATCGTGTTGGCCCAACACACAACCAAACGAATTATCCAGGACTGTCAAATAAAGAATTAAAGGTCTCCCAGGTTCCAGCGGGACTAGCACAGGTGGGTTTGACAGGTAGCTCTTGATCTTGTCGAATGTTTCTTGACACTCGTCAGTCCATTTGACCGCGGCATCCTTCTTTAGCAACATAAAGATGGGCTCACAAGTTGTCGTGAGTTGAGCGATAAACCGGCTGATGTAGTTTAACCGCCCGAGTGAACTCATCACCTCAGTCTTGTTCTTTGGCGGTGGCAATTCCTGGATGCCTTTATCTTTGACGGATCCAACTCAATACCTCACCCACTGACTATGAATCCCAACAGTTTTCTAGATGGGACACCAACTGCACATTTTGCAGGGTTGAGCTTAAGGTTGTACCTGCGGAGCCTTTGGAAAAACTTTCTCAAGTCCTCAACATGATCTGACTGCTTCATGTAAGTTGCCCCAGCGTTTTTCAAACCAAATAGCATTACCAGGTAGCAATATGTTCCCCATGGCGTGATGAACGCTGTCTTTTCCACATCTTCCTCGTCCATCAAGATCTGGTGATATCCCGCATAGCAATCCACAAAAGACCCGATTTCATGCTTGGCACAGTTATCAATTAAAATGTGAATATTTGGCAATGGGAAGTTATCCTTTGGACTTGCCTTGTTGAGATCCCGGTAATCAACGCACACCCTGGTCTTACCATCCTTCTTTGGTACTGGCACAACATTAGCTAACCATGTGGGATATCGAGTAACCTGAATGACCTTCGCATCAAGCTGCTTTGTGATTTATTCTTTGATCTGCACACTCATGTCAGTCTTGAACTTCCTTAACTTCTGCCTGACGGGAGGGAATGCTGGATCAATTGGCAATTTGTGAACTACCAAATCAGTACTCAAACCCGGCATGTCATCATATGACCATGCAAAAATATCTTTATATTCAAACAGTGCTTTGATTATTTCTTCCTTGATTTGTGGTTCCAGGTGTACACTTATCTTGGTTTCCCTGATATTATCTGGATCTCCTAAATTGATTGCTTCAGTTTCATTCAAATTAGGCTTGGTTTCTCTTCAAAATGATTTAGTTCTTTACTAATTTCCTCAAATGCCGCTTCTTCATCATATTCTGTTTCATCATCACACTCTACTTCTTGGATTATTATTTCAAAGTTAGATTGGCTTTTAAGACTTGGCTGAAAATTCCTCATGCATGTCATGTCATTGAAACCAGTATTAAAAGAAATGTACAAAGAAAAACAAAAATGACATTATCAGGAGTAATGGAAAAGGGAGATTGCATTACATTGAAAATAAAGGATAGAAGGGTTTGTACATCAAAACAAGCGAAAAATAAAAATCGGGATTACAACCCTGGAATAACCCCGATAACATAAAGGAAAACAAAGCAAACTACCAAAACTCCTTCCGAGTGGGGAGAGGAGTAGCCTTCCAATTGTTAAGCTTCACTTTCAGTTGCTACCATGACGGATGAGGAGGCTAAATTTAGACCTGGAATACACTCCCCCTCCGGAATCTTCTCAACTGGCACTTTTTCGGAAACTTGGTAGACTCGAGGCCCCTTATCGTCTTCGGCCTTAATAAACGGGATAGATGTATCATTGTAAGCACATAGGTTTTCATCACCATGCACAACGATTTCCTGTCTATCCCACTCAAACTTTACCATCTGGTGCAGAGAAGACGGGACTGCCTTGGCAACATGTATCCAGGGCCTACCCAATAGCAAATTGTAGGAGACGGCCACATCTAGTACCTGGAATTCCATGGTAAATTCAACTGGTCCTATTGTCAGTTCGAGCACGATATCGCTAACAGAATCTTTTCCCCCTCTGTCAAAACCTCGGACACATATATTGTTCTTGTGGATCCTTTCAGTATCAATTTTCAACTTGTACAGAGTGGAGAGAGGGCATATGTTGTCACTGGAACCATTGTCAACTAGCACCCTCGTGACCACAGAATCTTTGCATTTCACTGTGAGATAAAGAGCCCGATTGTGTTCCGTACCCTCCAAAGGCAGCTCATCATCCGAGAAGGTGATCCTGTTTGCCTCGAATATCTTGTTGGCAATCTTCTCCAAATGGTTAACCGTGATCTTATCAAGGACATGAGCTTCATTCAGAATTTTCATGAGGGCCCGGCGGTGCTCTTCTGAATGTATCAACAATGATAGAAGAGAAATCTGAGCGGGGGTCTTCCTCAATTGTTCCACGATGGAGTAATCATGCACCGTCATTTTTCTCAAAAATTCTTCCGCCTCCTCTTCGGTGACTGGCTTCTTCACTAGAATTGGATTATCTTTGAGTGGCTTAGCTTTCCTTAATTCCTCTGGGGTAAAGCATCTCCCCGAACGAGTCAACCCTCGGGTTTCATTGACTTCCTCTTCCACTTCTTTCCCTTTATAGGTCACTATCACTTGTTTGTAATTCCATGGAACAGCTTTGGTGTTACCTATCGGCAGATGGGTCACAGGTTTAATAATAATAGGGTCAGTGCGAGCCCCTTCCACGATTATGACAGGCTTACTTGCTGCCCCCGACACAACCACTTTCGGCTTCCTTGCTTCGCTTCAACATCATCTGGGGACCCTTTCACAACTAATACATGCAGCTTAACATCGGACGGGCTTAGCTTGTCCGTCAGCCCTTCAACTGTCGAGGATGTTGCATTTGTAACAATTGGAGTTTTGACTGAATTACTTTCACTGGCACGGATCATCATGACAGACTGCGAAGGCTTCTTGGGCTCCCCATCTTTATACACTATCTCAATCATGTGCGTTTCAGCATGGGCTGGCAATGGATTTTGATTGATGTTTGGAGCTTCCGGGCTCTGGACCACAATTTGGGTTGTATAGATAAGCTCTTGGATGTCGCTCTTCAAATGCCAACACTTTTCTGTGTCGTGCCCCGGAGCATCAGAACAATATGCACATCTGAGGGAATAATCCAGGTTCTTTGGTAATTTTGACTCAATCGGCCTCAGAACATCCAACTGCCTCAACCTTTGAAACAAACTGGCGTAAGACTCCCCAAGCAAGGTGAAAGTTTGCTTCCACTGCTGCCTTTCCTTTCTATACTCCGGCCTTGGTCGAAAGCTTGGACCAGTAGGGTTTCGGTATGTTTGTGGAGGTGGGTAAGGATTTTATGGAGCTAGTGCATGCCATTGCGGGTAAGGAGGGGGGTTGAGCATATGACTGTGCGTGGTGGACGTGGTATTGGGGTGGTCTGACTGGATATTGAGGGTCTTGCGATGGGAAGTAGTGTTGGGGTGGATTATATGGAGCTTGGGTATAGGTTTGTGGTTGGGGTCAAGGCTGGGTGTAATGGTGTGGGGAACCCCTCGGGCCATGCCACGATCCTGAGACGATCATAGCAACATCTTTTTTCTTCTTTTTCCCTAACACGCCCCCGGTGCCATTCTGGATTGCTTGTGTAGTTGCTTTGATGGCAGAGTAACTCATGATCTTGCTCGATTTGAGTCCTTCCTCTACCATTCCTCCCATCTTCACTACTTCATTGAAAGACTTTCCTATGGCCGAGATCAGATGACCAAAGTAAGTAGGCTCCAAGGCCTGAAGAAAGTACTCCACCATTTCATCTTCCTCCATTGGAGGGTTGACTCGCGCCGCCTGTTCTCTCCACCGGAAACCATACTCCCTGAAACTCTCACTGGGCTTTTTCTCTATCTTAGTCAAGGATAGGCGATCTGGGACAATTTCTATGTTGTACTGGAAATGTCGAGCGAAAGCCTGGGCCAAGTCATCCCAAGTGTTCCAGCTGCTGTTGTCCTGGCGGGTGTACCAATCCAACGCTGCACCACTCAAATTTTGACTAAAATATGCCATCTACAATTCATCTTTCCCACCAGCACCCCCCATTTTGCTGCAAAATCCACTTAAGTGGGCCACAGGGTCTCCATGCCCGTCATACAAGTCAAATTTGGGCATTTTGAATTCGGCAGGCAGCTGGACATCGGGAAACAAGCACAGATCCTTATATGCCATACTCACTTGGCCACCTAACCCTTGCATATTTCTCAGTGACTGCTCCAATCTCTTTACCTTCGTAAATATCTCCTCTTGCTATGTGTTTTTGGGTGGCTTCTCAATTTCGACAGGAAGTTCAAAGTGAGGAGTGTAGGAGTAGTGATCCGGGACTTTGAAGGTGGGCTCTAGGGCATAGTACTGGTTATCTTGGGCTTGGAATGCCGGCTCACTAGAAGATCGATAGAGGGTAGCTCACGGAGGTGCTACGAAGACAGGGGTAGCTGGCGGAGCAGGGTATGTGGTTGCTTTGGCTGGGGGAGCTTGGATGGTTTGGGAAGAGGTGTCAGGATAGTGGTGGTAAGGGGTGAAGCTTGGTGCGTGTTGCGGGGATAGATCAACAATGGTGGGATCTTAAGATTGAGCTAGTGGTGGGATGGCAGGGTATGACGGTGGAGGATGCCCCTTAATCCAAGCCTGGTACATTTCGGCCATTTGGTGCTTCAGCTTATGTACCTCTTCTTTCAAACCAAACTCAGATTCCTCCATCTCTCTCGGCGGGTCAATAACACTCGCGTCCAATTTTTTGCTAGCCATGATCGCCTTGTGTTTTGACCTGGTATTATATGGGTGGCTTGCCAGAATGCCAAACAAACTAACCACCTTCCTGTACTCAATGACAACAGCAAACTTGTTAGTGTTTAAGAGTTTAACAGATCGACAATCGCACGTTTGGTATGCATGCACCTAGACAGTTGAACGCTTCTATCGTGTATTTGAACGGTTGCATGCTTCATCCCGGCCTTAACTAACTCTTTTCACTTTGCACTTTCTTTTCTTTCACCCATCACTATTAATTTTTCTCACTTGGTTCCTGTCGCTTCCCTTTTATTTTTGCACTTTCTTTTGTTCTCTTGTTTTGCCACTCTTTCTTTCCACTCAATTTTCTTTCCTCTCTTTTCATTTTATGGTTATGATCGAATCCTATGGGGATTGCATACGTATCATGTTGCCGCATGAATCGTAGTTCAGGAAGATCGGGAATAAAGTAAATAAATTAAAAGATTTCCGAAATAAAGACTTATAAAGAAAAGAAGATATTTTTGGTTTTTTTAAAAAAAAGACTGGGGTCTAAAACAAAGACTTTCTAAAGGACGAAGTAAAGGAAAATATTTTTGGATTGTTTTTTTTTTAAAATGGCGGGCCGAAACCGATGGGGTTTGCCTACGTATCTCACATCCGGTGAGAATCAGACCCGCGTAGTTCGGCAAATTTTGACGTAACAGAAAAATATGCTTTATTTTGAAACGACTTTCCTTATTTTCTTCTTTTTCAAAATTTCGGCAGAGTTTCGGGATGCTTTGGATATCGGGATTTTTAGAAACGGATGATTTTCTTTCTCTTACCTCAATCTTGGTTTTCTTGATTTTTCTTCCCTACTAGAAGCCGGTCAACATGCAAGCCGAAGCAAATAAATGTACAAGTAGCACATAAGATGTATCAGGATGGTCTTTTATTTCGGGTACACCTGTCCTAGACGGACCCAACCCCTGTGTTAAGTCCCCAAAGTCAAATGCACGTGACGCAAATAAGCGTTCCTACTAGGGATCCGGCATGAGGCTATGTTATTCTAGGTTTAAAACCTGGGTGTATTGTTCTAGACCTGGCTTACCCGAGCGGACAACTTGAGCCGAGGGGGGCATTGTACCGGGAATACAGAAGCTTCACCGACTTTGCAACTTGTCCGAACCTCGTTCTAAAATTGGGATATGACTCTAACAGAAAAGAAGTCACACGAAGTGCACACTTCCCAGATGATTTAGAAGACTCAGAGAGAAGAGGGTTTCGCAACAATTTATATACAGTCCAAACAATATCAAAGCGGCATTTAGCACATTAGGCTCAAACATGTAAAAAAAATCAGATAATAAATAAAAACCAACTATAACAATTATTCTAAGCTCGAGTTCTGAACCCTTGTTTGCGAAACCAGAGATTTTGGGTTCGATCCCCTGCAGAGTCGCCAGAGCTATCACACCTCCTTTTTCTACCCGAGAGGGTATAGCGGAGTTTTTCCAATTAAAGTGACAATAACCGAAACGGGATTATTTATATTCAAATTCAGAGTCGCCACTTGGGATAGCTATGGTGTCCCAAGTTACCGGTTTAAAAATCCCTAATCGAGGAAGATTGACTCTGTTTTACAGTCCGCGAAACACAGAAATCCGGGTAAGGAATTATGTTTACCCGGGAGAAGGTGTTAGGCATTCCCAGGTTCCGTGGTTTTAGCACGGTCGATCAACTATTATTAATGGCGTAATTATCTGATTAACAACATATTTCATGCCTAGTGTGTATTTTTAGCTTTTTAACCGCTTTTAATTTTTTATGGAATTATTTCTGGAACAAGTTACGATTGTCGTACACTTGTTTGTTTGGGAACACAATAGAAAACACGCTACATGAAATGCACCCGCGATTTGCAGTATGTTTATTTTATTATTCGAAGTTGTTATGATCGGGTCACAAGAAATGCACACCCGAAATTGTGAATTATGCATCATAACTATGTCACGGGAACCGTACCCATAGTCACAATGATTTATTATAGCGCGCCTAAAGCAAACTACGAGTATTCATGCTTACCTCTTAAAACTAATTCGCAATTTGATATAAGGCTACTAATTATAAATGCATTGGGAGATAAGCGAAGCCTTTAATTATTTGAGAAGTACTGGGCCAGCGGTAGGCCCAATATATTATCTAAAAGAAGATTGTCAAGAAAATATGGCTAGTGGGAACTGGGCTCGAAATTGAGCCCAAGAATGAGGACAAGGGGGCAAGCAAGCCTGGTTTTGACTTGGCAGCTTCGCTTGGGCCAATACCAGGCCCAACTTTTCCAACAACGTTAAAGCCCATTTTTGGTTATCTTAAAAGAAAAATTAATGAATAAAAATGCTGAAGTTGATTGGGCTCGAAATTGAGCCCAAAAGCAGAAGTAAGCAGAAAACAGAAGCACGCCAGGTCGAGATTCGACCAAGCTGCCTCATCTGGGCCAATGCCAGGCCCAACTGCTTCCAGCAGGAGGGCCTTCGACATTAAGGCCCAGTTGAGGCTCAATTTCCTCTAAATCACATGTAACACAAAATATTATAAAAATTCTGGAAAAATCAGAGGCTGACCAACCATATTATAAGTTTAATTTGTTAACATGCTATTAGTACTAACAATAAAATATTAAACCTTAAACTTATTCATGAATCACCTTAAACTTAAATATACAATCGCTTTAACAATGTTGAAATTCGAGATAATTTAGCTGAGTGTACTCAGCAATCAAACACTGCCCCTTTTGAACATGTACAGTACATATCCAGCATCCTCTAATAGACGACCAAATGAACTACTGTGATTATTAAACATTTCAAAACTGTCAAACAGTACATGGAACAGCTAAACTAATTTGAACATTCATACACATAAATATTACAACTAAGTTATAGACTAGAACACCAAATTCAGAATGCTTAAACAAAGCTGAAAAGAAATTGTAAAACTAAAAAAACTAGAAGAGATCGTAGGTAAAGAAAAGAACTGAAGTTTAACATCTTGGACATCAATTTCAAAACAACATGTTTATAACTTCATTTTTTGTCACTCAAGGTTCCAGAAGTACCTTGATACAGCAAAGAACAAAGTGAGAAAATCTCTGAGAAGCAACAGAAATTAGCAAGAAACTTCAATAGAAATCAACAGCATACAACAGCAACACCACACAGCTCCAAAGCTTAAACCATATTTTAACTTAGAGAACCAGAAATCCCATGAAATTTGCTTGAACTTTTCTTTAAAAATCAGAAATTGGATCAGCTCTAATGGAACAATAGAGCTGAACTTTTGGAATGTTTTTAGGGTCTGAATCTCTCTATCTAATGAGTGAGGAAAGGGTTCTATTTATACACTAAAAGAGCTGTTGTTTTCTCTCCAAGTCGGGGATTATTCCCTTTGAAAGCAGCCCTCAAAGAGCATCTTTTTTAATAGAATTGGACAGCTGGTTGTCCCTAATTGGTTTCAGTATTTTGTACTGGCCAAATAGGGCCAGTTGCCCATGTTCTAGAACCCTCTAAATAGCCTTATCTCATTTTTCTATTTGTCCACCCCTCAAATGACCCCTTTAAGTTTTCTTTTGTTCAATTAAACCCCCAGAAATATCTAGTGATTTACATATTATAGACATCAACAGAACCAATAATTATCCTAAATCAAATCAAAAGGATTGCCCAACTCAGAAACAACCATACTGGTCTATACTAATATAGGCGATATGAACAAACAATAGAACACTGAAAGCCCTAAATCACGCTAACTAAATCAAAAAACAATTATGAAAGGGAAAACAATAGANCAGTAGTCTAATAAGTACTAAAAACAACTACTTTTTTTCTTTTCTTTTCTTTTCTTTTAGTTTTCACAGACATGAATCAGAATATTAAAAAGAAAAACAAGGACAAGGCCCTATTGAGAAATAGGAAATATCTGAAGCGGATCTCATGCTTGGGCTTCAATATAGCTCAAAATTGACCCCAAATGATTGTTCTTGTCAAGAACAATCCATTTGGGGTTGGAGTTTCGGTACTATCGAATGGAAAAATACACGGAGGAATGAACATGCAGGAACCAGTGTTTTTTATTTCTTATTTTTTGGTTAGATTTTCAGATTTGATATTTGACTGGTTTGAGGAAGATTTGGGGGAAATAACTCATGGATTTGGAAAGGAGGGGTAAATGTGGTTGTAGGGTGAAGATTTGGAGGTGTTTGGAGACCAGCCGCCGCCGTGAAATGATTTCCGGCGAGCGGCGGC